TTTCACAGAGCCACCGTTGTTGTTTAACATTGCATGGCGTCCCATGATGTACGTAGCATGGTTTGTTGACTCACTTTTCCACTGATAGCAAATTCGATTGCTGTATTCATTTATACATTTAATTGTTAATTTTTATTTTTCTCTCTAGAGAGCCCTTGGATCCCTCATCCCAAATCTGCATAGTATATGTAGGCTCATTGGAAAACGCCCGCACATGTGTGCGAGCAGGCACACACCCATTTGCAAAGTTCACGCAAAACTCACTATTCTTTCATTTTTCCATAAATATTTCAAGCCTTCATATATAGAGGTAGATGGATAGGCAATTTTTAAGATATACATTTTATTATATGAATATCTATCTACATATATCACTTAGTTCACTGCCATTGAGTCAGTTCTGACTCATAGCAACCCTACACGACATGGTTGAATGGTGGAATGTCTCTTTGGGTTTCAGAGACTGTAACTGTTTTGAGAGTGGAAGCAGTCGTCTTGCTCCTGCTGAATGTCTGCTGGTTTCCAAAGGCTAATCTTGAGGTTTGCAACCCAACATGTAACCATTATGCTTCCTGGAGACTATTATTATTATAAAATTCTGCACTACACATCAAATATGACGGGTATTAAAAATGTTTATGGAATATGGAATTAAATAACACCTAAAATGTGCCAAAAATTTTTGAAACCCTCTTGTAGATATACTACACACAAAAACAATAGAATTGATTTAAAACAGAAATGAATTCCATTACCTGACTACTAATATAGCATGCATGCCATGAATAATGAGAACTTTATGAAGCACTTAAAATCCAGTACCAACACAGTTATACACAAGTCAGCTGTCTTTTTGCTTTTATCTCTGAGATATTCTATACATTCTACTCTCTCCTTATGTTACAAATGCTACCTACTCCTAACAAATGCTCCTCTGACTATATATGAAATATTATTTATTCATTTATCCTACTTTTGTTTTCATATTCACAAAAATAAACTATTTTGGCTGCCTGTGAGCAAGACTGAGTTAAAAAAAATAATCAGAGACACAGATCAGATTAAAATCCAGCAATAATCAATCAGTAAATAGAGAAAAATGAAAGCTGTCAGAAAGTGAGCCAAATGGAAGAAGTAAGCCAGAAGGCTTGGTCACTGATAAGGTAACTGATAAATGCCGTCCTTTCTATCCAGTTTCCTAGTCTGGATAAGCCGGTCATATGCCTCCCATCCAAACAACATGTGTGCTCACAGCAGCCAATCGTGACTTCTATGTAGTTCTCTTGATCCCCGCTCTTTCCTTATCAGCTCACTTTACCTGCCAAGTCTCTTAGAATCTGAAAGGCAGCTCTTCAAAATTTTACATAAAATAAATATGCATTTGGAGTTGCATTGCTCATTATTTTTACTCATTATCATCTTTTTTCCCCCTTAGAGGAGAAAAAAATGTTCAAAATGCTGCCACTAATGTACAAAAAATAAAATAAAATCTGGAGAAAACTCATGCCGCTGCCCTGCTGAAAATGCAAGACTTTAATACGGTGACAAAAATGGATCCTGGCATTTGGTGACTTATTAAAGATAAAAATTTTTAAAATTCTGTCTCTGATTTCTTAAACCACATTGTATTTTGACTTGAATTACTGGCTTCAAGAGATAATGTACAGAAATGCTTCTTATGTCATTTAAAAGGCATGAGGAATTGGAAGGAGTTTACAGATCAAATTCAAACCTCAATGTCAAAGCCTTGCAAACTTAAAAAGGCTTCTTGATCCTTCATTTTCAGAAGCATAAAACTCTAGTTCTTTCTTTATTGCTGATATAGTTTTTAAAGTAAATTATAGATATCAAATAATAATATTGTACAATGGCTATTGTGCTCTGTTTTACATTACTTTATTAATCCTGCAATGGAACTCTTAGTAGAAATTATGAAGGCAAAGTTTAAACCTGAAGATATTCTATTGTGTGTCACCAGTGCAGGGGTGTCAATCCCAGGACAATCAAATAATTCCTTGCTATGGGTGGGGCTGTTCAGGGCATTGTAAGATATTTAACAGCATTCCTGGCGTCAACCCACTATGTGCTAGTAGCACACTCCCCCAATTTGTGACACTCAAACAATATCATTAGACATTGACAAATATCCTCTTAGAGATAAAATCACTCCCACTTGAGAACCACTGGATCAAGTGGTTAATTTGAGAATTTAAAAATGCTGACTTTGCTGTTTAATGTTAAAGACTATATATGAGAAGATGATAAAAGTGTTGGCATGGACAGAGAATATTTTCAATGACACAGAGACTGAAGTTTAGAGGGAAATATCTTATTTTTATTTTTAGTAATATATGTACAGTAAACCTAGTATTTAGGTATGTATATTGTTCCTTTGCTTCAAAATATTGGTTGATAAGTGAATACAAGTCAGGATATCAGGACTCATCATTTAAGAATTCCCTAAAAATCCTATCATAAAAAATTTCATTAGATTTATGATTTACAAATCGTCATTAATAAAAAAGAATGACATTACTGAGCCAAGAAGTTGAGTGTGCAAGGAATGAAGGTTTTTCTGTGATAACGATTTTTCTGTGGTAATAGTTTTAAAAATAAAGAAAGTTAGGTGCTAATGTCAAATGCATACCAAATAAATGTATTCATTAGTTCAAAAATATTTATGTACTAATAATAAAGTAAGGAATTATGTAAAAGCATAATGACTAATTGGTACATTCTTCTCATGAAATATAAGGTTTAAAGGCGATTTCTTTAGAAATCATCTGCAGAAGTTAGCTTAAGTTTAACTCACAATAAATCCTAAAGACACACAAGTACAATAAATCCTAAAGTAATGTAAGTGTTACCTAAATAGTCCTTTCTCCAGGATAAAGTCAGATCATTTCAATTTAATTTTTTCCTGCCAATTGATACAGACATATTAGTGTTTGGAATAATTATTTGAAAACAGTATCTTTTAACTTTGAGACATACTATATTATTTGTGTTGTTTCACAGTAGGCAAAGAAATGTAAATTTCTAACTGCAAAACAAAAGACAAGACCTTCTCTCTATGTTGACCCACCTAGCAGTGGTCTCTAAACCAAGACAAAAGTGTTTAGAAGCCAAACCATTCAAATCTTTGTTACTCTGGCCAATGCCTGGGGAATAGTTAGATAGATGATATTGGATTAGTGCCCAGCATTAGTTGGACTTCTAATGGGTTGTAAAGACAAAGACAGAAATTATGAGAGAAGTGATTTAAACCACGACACAGCAGGCGGGCTAATCAAATGAAGTCACCATTAGCGTTTATCTTACCTTCACAGTAGTGTAATTGCTGCTTTCTTGGATATGGATTAAAATGCCATTCTCGCTTCTTGTCCGGAATTTGACTTCCAGACTGTTCACACCAAAAGGCTCCAACATGGCACCTCGTATACTTTGTCTTAACAAATATTCCCTCTTTTCATTCTGACTCATGTGATAGTCCAACCGCCCTTTCCCTTCCAATGATAAGGCCGTATCCGGGGTAATAGCTGAAACCCACGGAAAAAAGCAAAACAAATACTTTCATTAGGTATTTCTTAGGATTTTCTGTAAAATTATGACCATTATGGAAATTGTCAATAAAAATATTAAAAATTTTAGAATCAAGCCCCCAAACCTTCCCTTGATAAAAATTATTTCCCCTTGTGGACTATTGTATATATTGATTTAGAATGATTAAATTAATTTTAAAAGCACAATCAAATAATACAATCATTAATCATTTTGGAAATCCTCATAAAAATTACTGATACATGAGATAAAAAATACAAACATGATGAGATAGCCACCCTTTGAAAATATGTTTATTCTGGACTCAGTTTCCCTGCGTTTGCATTTGCTTTATTAATTCGGGTATTATACCCTTTGAAGCAATAGTAAGTTCAAACCTGATTTTGTACTACATGATTTCTCAATCCCAGCTACCGGCATTTTGGATAAAATAATTCCTTACTGTGGGAGGCTGTTCTCTGTTTGTCTGTAATCAGTTTTGCAGTGTTTTCAAACTTTCCAATGGACATATGTTTCCATAGTTAAATATGATTTGTGATTTTGATACTCAACTATACTAGATATTTGGATAAGTATTTCAAAGACATATTTCTCTTTCTAACTGTATATCAATAATCACCATGCAGCACTTCATCTGGTAAAATGAGTACATTTTAAAAGTATAGAAGTTCAATTTACAGTTGCAAATAATTTTGATGAGAAAAAAATGTAAGGAAAGTAAGCTCAAAAGGGCCTGAGTACTGAATATTAGATGCCAAATATAATTTCATATTTGCAAATTTTATAGCATGTAAATTTTATCTCAGTTATAAAAGGGGATCTCAGGCATTGATCAAGTCAATAAAAATATAACAATTATAAATGTTATATGCTCACACTTAGTGATTCTGTGTGTATACCTCTTAACCAAATTAAAACCAAAAAATCATGAGAGAAATATTTCCTCAAATTAAGAAAACATTAAGCCAAAGCATGCATATACTTTCTGGCCTTATAAACTGTCCGCAATTACTTTAGATAAAAGAGCAATAATTAAAGTCGCACTACCCACTGCCACTGAGCGCCTTCTGACTCATAGAGATGCACTACAGCTTTTCCAGAGGGAGTGTTGTTAGATTAATGGGTTCTGCTTCGGGCTGCTAATCACACAGTCAACAGTTCTCTATCACCAGCTGCTGTCTCAGAGAAAGATGAGGTTTTCTGCTCCCATAAAGATTTAGTCTCAGGAACTCAGAAAGGCATGTCTACTTTGCTCTACAAGAATCAACTCAATGGCAGCATTTGGTTTCATAGAGTTTCCCAGGCTTTATGTGTGGAAAGAGAAAGCCTGTCTTTCTCTCAAGGAACCACCGATGGGTTTGAACTATCCACTTGACCTGAGAAGTCCAATGCTTACCCTGCAGTTCCACCCAGTCATCACTATTTCCTCAAATAGATACTGCCCATTTAATATTTTCTGTATATGAAGGAAAAGCAGTCATTTTAAAATAGCATGTTTAATTCACTGCCACAGAGTTGATTTCAGCTCAAAGGGCCCCATCGGACAGTGTAGAACTGCCCCTGTGGGTTTCTGACACAAGTCCTTATAGGAGTAGAAAGCCTGTCAGTCTCCGGAGGAGCAGCTGGTGGGTGGAATTGCTGACCTGAGCTGCCCAGTATGTAATCCAGTACATCTCCAGTATTCGTCCACATATGCAGGCGTATGTATTAATACGTTTCAAGCTTTGTAAAATTTCCAATGGATGATGAAACAGCTTACATTTCTCACAGTACTTTCCTGTCAACCCTTCCTTGCAACGGCACTGCTGCCAAGACCAGTGATCCGCGCATGTGCCGCCATGCTGGCAGGGGCTGCGAGAGCAAGCGCCTTCCAGTCGAGGACATCTAAAACACAATCACAACGAAGCGCATTAGACACTAAAGGAGATGGAGAAAATGTGCTAAATATGTGTTTTCTTAAATGTAACTTTTATTGATCAGTTTCCCTTCAAACACTCAATTAGTTTAAGCTTAGATTCCAAGTCTATTTGGAGGATGTAATTGTACTAGAAGTTATTCCATATCATTTGATTCACTTGCATCTAAGAAAAGAATTTTAAACACCACCACCACCAAGTACACAATTTTTTAAAAGACGTGTCAATTTTTACAGTAGTTTTTATTTGAGCAGATATATTTGTCAAATAAGCATTCTGAGTTAAATTGATTCTGAGCCCAGATTTTTATTTGCTTTTACATCTCTGAGTGTGTGCTAAGTCACTCACTGTTCTAAGCATGAAGGTACAGTGGTGAACAAAATACCCTATATTCGCGGAGTATTGTTTCCTGTGGAGGAGACTGAGGGTAGAGAAAAATTTGGGGAAAATTCCATCTGAATGGACAGAAGTAAATGCTATGGGAAAAATAAGACTGAAGACAGGTATAGGGATTCGAGGGATGGAGATTTCTGTAGTAAGCAGTGAAGAAAGAACACACTTCTTATAAAATCTTAAAGAAGAAAGTAAACATCATGTATCTGGGACACACACACACACACACACACACACACACACAAAAAACCCCCCCCCCCCCCAG